ATTAATTAGCTAATTAATTTTAAAATTATTGTAAAATCTGATCTGGCCAGGCATGATGCTGGTTTCAGGCCTATAATCCCAGCACTCTGGCCCAGAGACAGAGGCAGGAGGATTGCCTCAAGTTCAAGGCCAGTCTAATCAACATAGCTAACTCTAGGCCAACCTAGGCTGTGTAGTAAGACCTTTAAAAGAGAAGAAGAATACAGCTGTCTAGCTGGGTAAAGTGCTTACCACAGTCTAAAATGCCTGTGAGGCCGAGACAGAAGGGTCGCTGAGCCAGCAAGTCCAGGATCAACCTGAACAACATAGAGAGATCCCATCACATCTTAAGAAAAGCAAAATGCAAAATAAGCCGACAGAATCCGGTCGTGTGGAGTTGCTATTGGTTGTATACTTTTGACCTCTGAAGATGTTCAAAAGACAAAACTATGCATCATCTAGCTCTAAGATAGGGTCTTATGGATAGCTCATGATGGTCTCAAACTTGGAGCAATCCTCCGGCCTCACCTTCCTGAGTGTCGTCACCTTAAGACCTCCTTAATTGAGGGCTGCTACACTGCAATCAGTGATAGTGGTGAAGAAATCACAGCCACACTTCTCCAAGGCAAGAGCAATGTGGTCTTGAGCTCGAACATGCACAAAGAGCCTCATGACACCAAGGAGTCATGCTCTCACTAACATGATAATCTCAAACGAGTATATACCAGAGCTATGGTTCCCAGGCCCTAGAAAACACAGCGGGGAGGAATAGACAGAGGATGTTGGACACAAGAGTGGAAACAGATGGGAGGAATATATGCTAATGTTCTAGAGGGCAGACTTCAATTAAATGTTGTCAAGTAGCTGGCAGAAAGGCTTATGAAGTAAATGTGATGAAAAACCTGTTAACTGCTCCTATCGGTCATTGAAAAATGTGTGTGTGTGTGTGTGTGTGTGTGTGTGTGTGTGTGTGTGTGTGTGTGTGTACACTCTCCTGAAAAGAATGTTTTGTTTGGTCCTAGAAAGCAGTGGACCTTAGGAAAGTATGGAGAAGCCAATCACCAAGGCCACTGTGTGTGTTTTTGGTGTTTGTTTTTGTTGAGACAGGTTTTTTCTTTGTGGCCCTGGCTATCCTAGAACGCACTCTGTAAACTCACAGAGATTCCCCTGTCTCTGCCTCTCCAGCACTGGGACTAAACGCATGAGTCACCAGCACCCAGCACCAAGGCTACTGTTAGCAGGCACTGAGGTCACATGCAGTCCTCTTAAGGACACTCCAGACAAGAGACCTCGAAGCTCTGTAGCTCTAACCTACATTACTTCTGGCCAAAACACCTCCCATCCCACCCCGACAAAGGACACTAGCTCATGCTGTCTTCAGAAGAACTGAGGAAATCATCCTGTTTTTGTAAAACTTCCAGAAGAAAATGAAAAGCAAAGTCTGTGTGACCTTGAACTCAGTGTGTCCTCAGATATGACACCCAAATTACAATCCATAAATGAAAAAGTTAACAAATTTAAACCTCATCAAAATTAAAGGCATTCACTCTTCAAATATGAAAGTAGTTAAAAGAGAAGACGTAGATGAAAGAAAATACTTGCAAATCAGTATCTCTGTATACATAACATGTAGAGATAACACAATACACAGAGAGATGTTTGGCTGGTTTTTAGAATATAAAGAACTCACACAGAAATAAAAAAAGCAATAGTCCAGGAAAACATGGACATCATCGTGGAGTATGTGTTGGTGCTAGGAGCTGCATAGAAAGGTAGTCATTACTGTAAGTTATTAGGAAAATGAAAATAACATGTTGGAGGAGAACTCACATACATTGCTAGCAGGAATGTAAATGAAACAACTATTTTGCAGCACATTTTAGCAGGGTTTTTTATTCAGTTAAATATTTATCGTAAGACCAAGTAACTCTAACTTTCTGTCCAGTCTGGGGAACTGAAGACTGGATGTCCATACTAAAATGTGTGCGTGAATGTTCCCTGAATCAAAATTCATAACAAGCAAAAGCCAAAGCATCCTTAAAACCAGAGCAACAAATGAATGTGCCATGAGACATCTGTGATGTGGAACACAACTCCCCAGTGGCAGATAAATTCACACAGAAGGATGGGTGAGCCTTAAAAATATGTTGGACTGCAGAGAAGAATCAATGGTTAAGAGCACTGACTGCTCTTCCAAAAAACCCAGGTCTGTTACCTAGAGCCCACATGGCAGCTCACAGCCATCTGTAACCCCAGCCCTGGGGGACTGCACACTCTCTCCTGACCTCCATAGGCACTCCATAGATAGACATGCCTGAAAAACATCTATACACATAAAAATAGTTTTTTTAAAAAGCTGCTTTGCTAAGGAAAAGAAACCAGGTCCTAAAGAGTACACATTTCTATTCCACTCATGCAAAATTTAAGGATAGAGCAGTAAAGGCAGAGTTTAGGCTGGGGTGAAGGTACAGGGGACTCTCTGAAACAGAGACAAGTGTTCAGCTGGGCTGTGTTGATGGTTACAAAGGTAAGGGGTGTACTGGAAACCACCCAACTGTTTAAAACCAAAGCCAGTGGGGTTTGTTACAGTTGTTTGTCTTGGCAGGATGCATGCTAAGTAATCATTCAAACAGCAAGATGTCCCACCATCAAAAATTACTCCTTCCCTGGCAAGTGATCACTTTTGAGAAACATGTAGACCAAGAGAGAGTCTGTACCAACAGTAAACAGGACCTTGGGAAACTGGAAAGCTTCTGTATGACAAAGGACACTGCCATCAAAGTGTCAGGCTACACAAGTTCATCACTAAGAAGACTGAATGAAGCACAGAGGCAGGGGTTTGATTTTATTCAGTGTGTGTGTGTGTGTGTGTGTGTGTGTGTGTGTGTGTGTGTCTGTTGATTTGAATGAGATGTCCCCATAACTCTCCAGCACTAGATACTTGGTGGCTGTCTGAGACAAGTTGGTCAGCATGGCCATGTTTGGGGAGGTATATAAGGAGCAGAAGCCCTGAGTGGATGAAATCCTGAGTGAATGTGTGTCGTGTTGTTGACATGGGCATGATCATGCTGGGTACTTCAGTGCCTCGGTTCCACAGGAGTGGCAAAGCACTACCAGAGTGAGGCTCAAAAAGGAACAGCAAAGTTTTCCCTCCAGGTGTCAATGAGTGACCAGTGTGTGAAAAGACTGGAAACTTCTAGACTGCTCAGCCAGCAGAGACCACCTACAGAGACTAGCCAGCCCCTCCCCCTGGGCTGTCCCTAATAAACAGGCCGAGGTTACAGGGTGCAGGTGAAAGCAGATGGTCCAACAGAGCACAAGACATCTCGGAGCCTCGACTTCCCAGTACTCGTGTTTGTGTATCTGTCCTATCTTCATTCCCTGGCCACCTATCTTAGTTACAGTTTCTACTGCTGTGAAGAGATGCCATGGCCGTGGAAACTCTTTCAAAGGACATTTAATTGAGGTGGCAACTTATAGGTCAGGTGTTAAGTCCTTTATCCTTATGGTGGGGAGCATATCAACATGCAGGCAGACATGGTGCTGCTTACATCTTGATATGCAAGCAATAGGAAGTGGACTGTCTCACTAGGTGTAGCTTGAGCAAAGTAGACCCCAAAGCCCTACCTCACAGTGACGCACTTCCTCCAACAAAGCCACATTTCCTAATAGTGTTACTGCCTTTGAGGGCTACTTTCTCTCAAACCACCACAAACCTAGTCAGGGTCCCCAGAGCTTATATTTTTGGTTGTAAGCCTAGCCTGTGACGGCTGAGCTATGCCTCCAGTCCAGGGCCCCTAGATCTTAACAAGGAGGCTGTGCTGGATAGTTAGTGAGCCTCAGAGAGCCACAAGCAGAATCTTAAGACCCTGGCGGGGCCTTGAGGAATGATGTGCTTTGCTTTCAGGAGCTGTGGTGAGAGACTCTGGGGGATGCTCTCTTGATTTAGTGATTTAGTGAGCTCTCCCTTGTGCCAGGTGTCACAGGCACTTCCTGCAGGTTAGGTTTGGTTTGTAATATCAAAGACTCACGATGTCAAGGTACAATTCTGACCTTAATTGGAGGATGAAGTTACTGGTGATTGAATTCTGTAGGGTAGTAATCCGTGAGAGGATTGTTCCAGGTCTCCAAGCCCTGTATGCTTCTGCTGCCCCAGAAACACTGGAGCAGATTGCCGCATTAGTGACCCCAGGTGACAACCAAGACAGCGAATGAAAGAGGCAACACCAACCCTGACTCTATTTCTCCCTAAAAGCCTTTTCAAAAATGCTGTTAAGGGGCCAGCAAGTAAAATGGGATTGACTAAATTCGAACCCCTGGCCCCACATGCTGGTAGAGAAGAACCAAACTCTGAAGCTGTTCTCTGACTGTCACATGCAATCCATGGGCACCTGTGTGTCCCCACAGGTGGGCGTGCTCACACACAAAATAGATACAAGGTAACTTGTGCACTCACACACAAAATAGACACAAGGTAACTTTAAAACCTCTGTTACCAGAAGGTATCCTCTCACATCGCCTCTCTTAACTCTTGGTGGTCCCCAACTTTACAACTTTATCCACACCTGTCCTCTCTATGACTGTTCAATGTAACAAGTCACTGTGGGTTTTAACAGCTCCATCCCCAGCCCTCAGAGGCTAAAGCTTATGGTTCTAGACTGCATACATTTCAAACAAAACCACACACTCAGTCTGCCTACTAAAAGCCCCCAGAATAAAGCGGGCATCAGTAGCCACCTCTGGCAAATGTCTTACAGCCATGAATTCTGGAATGCAAGGTTGTTGCTGGGGCACAGGCCTGCCCTTGTGGTTTGGTGGCAGCCGTGGTACACAACGGGTACACTATCTCTGGCTCCAGGCTCTACCTCCCTGCCTGTAGGGCAATGGACAGAAAGGACTCAAAAAGCAAAGTCCGAAGGAAAGCAGCAGTGAGGAAGCATTCACCAAACCCAAAGTTCATGTGGTGGCCCACCCAAAATGTAGCTGACTGACTGGAAAACCCAGGGGCAGGCCACACTTACCAGAGTAGGCATTGCCACAGCTAAGGAAGCTCAGAACGCTGCCCAGGAGAAAGAGACCAAGGGCCTGCAGGAGATACACAAAAAAATAAAACATAGAAAGCTATTTAAATGGGCTATCTTCAATAAAAACAGTTGCTTGCAAAGTATGGAAACCTATTTGATTTATTAGCTATTGACAAAGTTGAGTTGATAGGTTCTTTTGGGGGAATGGGATTTTGGATTTCAGGTATTTTTAGAATGGATCCTGCTATGGAGCTCAGGCTAGCTTTAAACTGGAGATTTTCCTGCTCCAGTCTTTTGAATGCTAAGGTTACCAGAGTAAGCCACACTTAGCCTGACAGTGATATTTTTTGTTAATAAAATAAGTTGCACTTAGGCTAAAGATGTAGCTCAGTAACATGCTAACTTCTGGTGCACAAGGCCCCAACTTCCATCTCCAGCACAGCACCAATGAGCTGTGGTGGCACACACCTGTATAGCCTATAGCCTCAATACCTGGGAGGTGGTGCACACCTGTATAACCTATAACCTCAACACCTGGGAGATGGCGCACACCTGTATAGCCTATAGCCTCAATACCTGGGAGGTGGTGCACACCTGTATAACCTATAACCTCAACACCCGGGAGATGGTGCACACCTGTATAGCCTATAACCTCAACACCTGGGAGATGGTGCACACCTGTATAACCTATAACCTCAACACCTGGGAGGTGGTGCACACCTGTATAACCTATAACCTCAACACCTGGGAGATGGCGCACACCTGTATAGCCTATAGCCTCAACACCTGGGAGATGGTGCACACCTGTATAACCTATAACCTCAACACCTGGGAGATGGTGCACACCTGTATAACCTATAACCTCAACACCTGGGATATGGTGCACACCTGTATAACCTATAACCTCAACACCCGGGAGATGGTGCACACCTGTATAACCTATAACTTCAACACCTGGGAGGTGGAAGCAGAAGAATCAGAAGTTCAAGGTCATCTTTGGCTACACAATAAATTTAAAAGCAGCCTGGGGTATATGAGACCCTGTCATTCTGCCACTCCCCCTCCTTGTGCTCTCTCTCTCTCTCTCTCCTGATATAGATAGATACAGATATATAGATATATTCATGTATCTTGGACCAAGCATGAAGCCAATCCTAAAAATATCTCCTCCTCCATGTCGTCTCTAAAACTATCAGCAGAGACAGAACAGTAGCAAGAAGTACTGAGGCCAGAGATTTTTTTCAGCAGGCATGCTCTATTCTTCACCTTACTTCAGCAAAGGGGATGCTCGTGTGTCTATGAGCGCCACTTGGATAAGTCAGGGGAAAACACGCTCCCAGCTCTGAGTTACATAGCTTCACCTGAGACCCTGGGGACAGCATCCGCCCTGTCACAGCCCTTACCACTGACTGCCACTTGATGCTCACTACATTTGGGCAATGGACAATGACAACATTGGGAGAAAAAACTTTTCCTTCATAGTGAGCTTCTTTCTCCTGAGTGAGGAGAAAAATAAAATTAGTCTGTCTAGAATGTTAAATTTAAATGCATGATGTGTTGACCTCACTTTTCAAGAGAGCCAGTGTGAAGATGAATATCTCTCAGAAAATTCTCTTAAACATATATTGTTTTGCATATTCTGTTTTCTGTTCTTTTTAGATATGGTCTCATTCTGCAGCCCAGGATGTCCTAGATCTCACTGCTCCTGTCTTAGATTCCCAGTGCTTTCATTACAGATGTGCACATCCATTTAACAGCATTCATGTATTCAGATTAAGCATCTCTACTAGTCCAAAGCCTAAAAAAAAAAAAAAAAAAAAAAAAAAAAACAACTAAACCGAAAGGTTTTTGAGTGCTAATATGAAGCTGAAACTGAGTAGTCGTATGTGGTGGACCAAAGTCAAAATGCAGACACAACTAAAAATATAGGTTGTACAGTTTCACAGAGCTTCTACGAAATCAAGTGTGTTTCACATTTACTCTTGCATTGCTATGTATATACAATTCCTAAAGAAACCTGAAATCCTCCCTTAGTTGTTTTTCCATTTGTTTGTTTTTTATTTGTTTTGTTGTTTTGGTTTTGGTTTTTGTCAACTTGACAAAAGCTAACTTTATCTGGGAAGACAAATCTCAACTGAGAAAATGCCTCCATCAAGACTGCTTTTAGGCAAGTCTGTAAGGAATTTTCTTTATTTACTGATTGACAGTGGGTAGATGCCCCCTGTGGGCGGATGATCTTGAGTTGTATAAGAAAGCAGGCTAAGCAAGCCATGAGGGGTTAATCCAGTAAGCAGCACTCCTCCGTGGCTTCTGCTTCAATTCCTGCCTCCTGGTTCTTGCCTTGAGTTCCTGCTCTGAATTCCCTCAGGGACAGAGTGTGACCTGAGAGTTGTAAGCTGAAATATACACACCCTCCCCCGCCCAAGTTAGTTTTCCTTCTTCCTTCTTCCTTCCTCCTTCCTCCTTCCTTCCTTCCTTCCCTTTCCCTTTCTTCCTTCCTCCTTCCTTCCTCCTTCCTTCCTTCCTTCTTCTTTCCTTCCTTCCTCCTTCCTTCCTTCCCTTTCCCTTCCTTCTTTCCTTCCCTTTCCCTTCCTTCCTTCCTCCCTTCCTTCTTCTTTCCTTTTTCCTTCCTTCCTTCCTCCTTCCTTCCTTCCTCCTTCCTTCTTCCTTCCTTCCTTTTTCTTTCCTTCCTCCTCCCTCCTTTCTTCCTTTTCCCTTCCTTCTTTCCTTCCCTTTCCCTTCCTTCCTTCCTCCTTCCTTCTTTCTTCCTTCCTTCCTTCCTTCTTCCTTCCTCCTTCCTTCCTCTCTTTTTCTTTCTCTTTCTCCTTCCCTTCCCCCTTTCTTTTCTTTTTTTCTAATCACAGCAATAGAAACCTAAGAAAAACAAATCCCAAACACTTCTGATGGCAACTTAAATAAGGGATACACTAGCTGTTCTAAAGCAAAAACCCAAGTGAACCAAGATAGAAGTTTTCCACCTTAGGTAGCAAAATGTACCACATATTAATTCTACAAATAGATAATTGAATTACCATTGTCTTGCTGCCTCAGGAAGTTAATTTTTTCCAAGAAAATAACATATCACTACTTGTTTAATTTGTTCGTTGGTGTGATAAAATATCCCAGCCAAAACAACATGAGATAAAAAGGGTTTACTTGAGATCATAGTCCAAGGGCACAAGGGAAATCAAGACAGCAAAAGCTTGGAGCAGCTGATCACGTCACATCCACAAGCAGAAGCAGACTCAATGCATGCTTAGCTCACTTTCCTTTACGCAGGACTCCAGCCCACAGAATAGTGTCACCCACAAATGAACCCAATCAACACAACCCCACAGATGTGTCCAGATGTCCGTGTTACACACAGACACGCCCAGGCATCCATCAGGTTGGCAGTTAACATTCACCATCACATGACTCTTACTACAAATCTAAACACTTGTCTTTCCGGCGTCAGCCTACAGCTGCTGGCTGCATGGCTCAGTGATGAGGCACTCAGGCAGCCATCTTGGGGACACACAGAGCAAGGAGCCCACCAGGAAGTCAGGGCCTCTGGTAACAATTACTAGAAAGCTATAGAAGATGCTGGGTGACACAAAGAAAGCACAGTGGTTGAAACAGCCCAACAGAATCAATGTGCATCTCAGTCCAGGGAGCTTGGGTCTCTCGGTGTCTCCCCAGCTGAAAGTTTTGCCTGAGTTTCAGGTAGAAGTGCCTTTAAGACTCTGTCCTCCCAGGAAATCTCTTTCAATGACTTACCGTAGCTCTCACTGTGTCACTATAAATGTGACTGCTTTGTAGTATTGATAGTTATGCCCCATATTTCTGATAGAGCTTAGCCTTTCTTTAAAATTAAAACTCAGGGGATGATGGTGCATCCCTTTAATCCCTGCACTCAGGAGGCAGAAGCAGGTAGATCTCTGTGAGTTCCAAGGACTACATAGTGAGAGAGAGCCTGTCTAAAAATAAATTGAACTGAAACTTTCTCCTTCCCCTTATTCCTTCATCCCTCCCTCCCCCTTCTTTCCTCTCTCTCTTTCTGACACAGTCTCATGTAATTGGAGCTTGTTTTGAACTCCTGACTTGCCCCCTCCTCTTCCTCCTTCTTCTCCTTGAATTTGAAATAATAATTACGCATTATTACGAAGGACTCATAAGCTTCAATCTGAAAATCCCACACCCCTCCAAGCAGAGCCTAGAAACAAGATGCACAGCTGGAACTCAGCCCCAGCACCGGAGCACTGCTCCCCTGAGCTCCAGAGGGCCTGCAGTGCATGCCTCTTCTGCGTGTATTTCTGTACTGGTCCCCGTCTCAACAGCTCTTTCCCTCCAACAGTGACACACACACACACACACACACACACACACACACACACACACACACACCTTTTCTAATGCCCAACTTTGAAATGGCAGGAGCTCAAATCATATTTTGGGTTGTGTGGTTTTTTTCAGTCATAGCCTCCTCATTGCAAAGCACAGAGTCTACCCCTCCCCAGATAACAGTCTCCTTGTGGCATCAAACGGCAGCTCCTGGCCATTCCATGCTTCTCCAGCACAAAACTCCCCCTGCAGAGTCTAGCCGTGGTCCCTTACTTTGCTCACCTCTTATCTCAGGAACTAGACTCACCAGTAGAGCCCCAAGCCCAGCACATCACAGTTACAACTGTCAATATCGGAGCCCCAACTGCCAAGGTCTTTCCCATGGTGCTCTTGGGCACCAAGCCAATCAGAGAGAGCTGTGTGAGGCTAGTGTCCTTGCATGTTCTGCGGTAGTTAGATGTAGTTAGAGGAGAGGTTTTCTGGTTGGAACACAGAGAGGGGAGAAGAGCTAACTAATAAACAAGCCAATTCAAATCTGGTGATGACAGAACCTAAAGTTTCTGACCAATAAATGACCAAAATTTCCCAAAAGGCTTTTTTGGAGGTGTGGGTGGGAGTCATGTTATATAGAACACATTTTTAATAAAGAGGTTTGGTTGGTTCTGGGGGACTCTCGTTGGTACCTGCACTGCTTGGCCTTGGTGACAACATCCATCCTCAACAATTTATGCACATTCCTGGTCGTCCCCCCTCACAAGAGGCTGAAAGTCTTAACAATCCCCAGACTCTTTGTTATTATTGGGTAACCCTTCCTGGGTGTCTGTAATAAAGCTACACACGAAATCAAAGTCTGCATTGTTCTGGTGGCTCTTCTTAGATTCTCGGTGTCTCATTGAGGGAGCCTTTGTTCCCGCAAGGTAAAAAAAAAAAAAAAAAAAAAAAAAACCCAGAAACCCACATATTACAGGCCATTTACTCAGCTGTCACAATACCAGCAGTGGGAGAGTCGCTATGCGTGGGAGATGATGTCTACAAGGATCACTCCCCTTTAAAGCGGGGTGCTTAATTACTGTTTTAGGGGGCAGTTAATGAGTGGAATGTGTAGAAGATTAAACACATTTGGTTCGGGAGGACCAGTGCGATGAAAGCAAGCCCCAGTCCTTCACATGTGGAGAGGAAAGCTGAGTACTACGTGTCTCAGGAATCTCTTCTAAACCCCACCCACCGCGGGCTTAACAAGAGCTGGCAATGCCCATGAAGCCACCCAGCCCTGAAAGTCACTCCCACAGGACATGGCAGTCACTGCACCACAGTTGATTCAGCACCCCCACCACTGAGACCAAAGGGGACAATGCTGGCACTGGACTAGGAAGTCCAGAGTTCACCCGTCCTCATCATGATACCAGGAAGGGACAGCTGCTCTCCCTGAGGGAGCTCCACCTCAGGGCGAAGCTGGGAGCGCGTACACTTAAACTGAAGAGGCAAAGTGAGGTATCACAACAGAAAGGTGAACAAAGGATTATGGGATCCCGGAGCTGGAGATGATGAAAGGCTGCAACAAAGAAGGGATATCTGAGCCGGGCTTTGAAGGAGGAAGAGGTCTACAGATAGTCACAGCGCAGATGCTGTGGAGGAAATACAAACAAAACGTCCACGGGAACAGGGGGACCAAATCCGCAAAGCAGTTTCAACTTGCCGTGTGGCACGGCAGCCCTGGTCATGCTTTCAGGTACGATATGAGTCAGAAGAATGAACGTAAAGCGTGCTCTTCCGTCCCTGCTGAAACTTGAAAATCGAGTTTGTACTGCCCAAAAATTACCTGACACCCAAGTCAATGCCCAAAGATTTTACTCAATGGGTAGGCAGAAGTTAAAACTCAACTGAAATCTGAAAGATAAAGGCAATGGAAGAAGGGCAAGGCTGAGGTGTGCTCTCCGGTCCCAAGCTGATGCTCAGTTTCTCTCAGGCCGTTCAGGACTAAGCGCTAGCGCTCCACGGGTGTATTAGATGTGACTTCTCCAGCTGGAAGCCAGCAAGGAATGAAAATGTACCGGCTGAGACGGGGATGTGGCTCGTAGGTAAAATGCTTGCTATGTAGAACGAGGACTTGAGTTCCGATCCCCAGCATTTGTATCAACGCTGCGCAGAGGTGACTTGCCTGTAATCCCAGCACGTGGAAGGCGGAGCCTACGGTGATTACCGAGACCAGACCCATTGGCAAGCACGGGATTAAGGCGAGGAGCCTTTCTTCAGTATACAATGGAGAGAGAAATCGAAGGCTACATCCGACATCGACCTCTGGCCTCCACACAAATGCGTGCCCATGCATACGCGAACATGCGCACACACATGAGTGCACACACACGAGTGCACACCGTGTCCTAGTGCACACAGGAAAAGGAAGAACACTGAAGAGAAAGCAATGCCTGGCTACGGGGGTCCCAAAGGCCTGGAACTGGGGGGCAACAGTGGTCTCCTGAGCCTGAGGAAAGGAGCAAGCATCTCCTCTGCTTTAGCCTGATTTCCCCGCGCAGCCCCTGCGCACCCTTCCACAATTGAGACTACAGAGCACCCACTACACCAGAAAGTAGGTTTTATAATTATTTTCATTGTAATGTAGGTCATTTTCTGACGTGTCAGATGAACAGACTGTTTACATGGCTACATCACTCCAGCACTGTCCCTCAAAGACATCTTGCCACTTCCTTTTAGCACACACACACACACACACACACACACACACACACAAACTAGCACTTTGCAATACATGATCAAACTGTTCATGAAATGCTTTCTAGCTTTATCATGTAATTACTTTGGAAACACTTAAATTCAGACATAAAACAGACTTTTACTGAAGCAGATTGAAAGGACTAAAAATTAGTCTTTCAAAAACTGCTGAAGCTAACCTCTACACAAGGAAAGAGAATATAAAATTATAGAGCAAGGCATGATCCTATATGCCTTTTGTCCCATCACCTGGGAGAGAGATGAAGGCTGAATCTGAGGTATAGGCAGTTGTGAACTGCCATGTGGGTGCTGGGAATTCAACACGGGTCCTCTTCAAAAGCAGACACTGTTCTTAACCTCTGAGCCATCTCTCCTACCCCAGATTGTCGTGTGTGTGTGTGTGTGTGTGTGTGTGTGTGTGTGTGTGTGTGTGTGTGTGTGTGTTCTTGATGCTTGATGAACCCCAGAGATATGCCTGGTTCTGCCTTCTCAGTGCTGGATCATAAATCCGTGTCTTTACTTCCTGTTTTCCACATGGGTTCTGGGGGTTTGAACTTGGGTCCTCATGCTTACTCAGATGGAGGCTGAGGCATCTCTCCAATTTTGCCTCTACAGCCTCCATCTTCTTTCTCCATGGTCTCTTCCCACTGTGTCCTTTGACTGTCTGTCAAGTGGTTGGGCTACCCATCCCCATAGGCTCCTGGGCTGGGATGCGTTTAGCTGATATCTCTGACTCTCACCTGCAAAAAGCAGATGACCCTGGGACAAGCTCACCAGAGTTTACTAAGGATTGAACGTGGCTTTCCCCATAGACAGCACATTTATCTGCAAGTGACCTGGACCAACCTTACCGCTTTTCTGTCTGTGTCCCTCTTGTGTATTTGCATTTTCAACCTTGTCCCTTTCTGCACTGCCTTTTTATTGCCTCCCCTTACTCTTTCTCCTCCTCCTCCTCCTCCTCCTCCTCACCATCATCATCTCCTTCCCTGTCATCCTTCATAGCATAGCTCCTTTCAGGAAGCTGGGTAGGCACCTGGTCCCCAAGCACTGCCCTTCTCCCTACTCCTCCTGTAGTGGGGACATTCCATGTACCCATCAACTATAAGATGCCCTGGTGACTGTGGTGTCAGGCCACCTGCAGTGGAGTCCCTGCTGTGTGAAGCACTACTACAGACAAATTACTCCAAGAGCTGGTGTCCTGCCTCCTGGGACCATCTAGTAAAGTCTCTTCAGACCATGCTGAACTCCGTTCCCAGAGTCACCCGGAACTGGAGGCTGTGTTGCAGGTGTCAGGCCCAGAATCGTTCTGTGTATTCTAACTAAGCCCTGGAATGGAGAGACAGACAGTGTCTGCAAAAATAATCACCAATCCTTTTAAGTCAAAAACCATTAGCCCTTATCACCAACATCTCGAACGGCAAACTTCTGAATTATAATGATCTTTACAGCGGAAGGCTGAAGTCTTTCATTGCTGCAGAGCTGTGCTGTGACCACGGAAACCAAGATCAGCTCACATGTGCTTCCTTGGAAAAGACCTGGTCTGGAAATGGAAGTCAGGAATACTCCCTGCCAAGCAGGTGACTACATACAAAACATGCTAAAGGCAGATGTGCAATACAAAATAGTGTGATGTATCAGCTATCAATTAAAAGATGGATTTTAGTTCCAGGCACAGAAGTATATGCCTTTAATACCAGTACTCGGGAGGCAGAAGCAGGTGGATCTCTGTGAGTCTGAGGCCAGCCTAGTCCATATAGTGAGTTCCAGGACAGCCGGGCTATGCAGAGAGAAATCCTGTCTCAAAACGATGGGGGGTGGGGAGAAGAAGATGCGTTTTAGCGAGGCATGATGCTGCAGGTCTGTATCCCTGCACTTGGGGCAGAGGCAATAGATCAGGAGATCAAGGCTATTCTCAGCAGCTACAGGAAGTCTGAGTTCAGCCTGGGCTTCATGAGACTCTGACTAAAAAGACAAAACTGAATTTATTGAAAAAACTCTAGCAAAGCTAATGTCTTTGGTACTTCAACCCAATAGTTCTACTTTTCAGAGTTCTCTGGTAGTCAAGTGGTTAGTATTCAGTGCTCTCACTGCCAGGTATGGGAGTCCTGGATTCAATCACAGGTCAAAGAAGGCTTGATTTGGCACATACCTTTAATCCCAGGACTCTGGGAAGCAGAGGCAGGTAGATCACTATGAGTTCCAGGCAAGCTGGGTCTACATAGTGAAACCTTATCTCAGAAAGAAAAGAAATTTCTTCTAATTCCACTCATATCTGTATGCAGGGTGATAATGGGATGGGTATTGAAAAAAAATAGCCTCAAAGTCTATCAAGAAAGGAGTGGACAAATGAGTTATGCCAATTCCACTCAAGGACTATTGCTTATTTTTTTAAGTGCATGGAAACGGGACCTGGGGTGTCACTCACTGACAAAGTACCTGCCTAAAATGCGTAAGGCATTGGATTCCATGTCGAGAAACACATTCACACTTACATTCACATCTTCCAATGTTGTGTGTATGTAACCCAGAAAAGAGACCTCAGCTGGGGAAGCCTGTGTCCATCCTGCAAGGGTTCGGGGTTCAGGGTCCAGCTCACAGAGGGAAAGGGCCAGGAAACCCCAAGAAAAATATATCCAAAAGGATACACAGCCAGG